CATGGCATTTGATGTAATAGAAATTGATACACTTAGAATAATTACATTCATATTATATTTCGAACGTGGTAGAGCCACGCTGCATCTATATTATGGTTGTATCACGAATGGGTTGGCTCGACCGGGGTAGGACCACGCTCTTACAGAATACCAGCGTAAAATAGCAGCTTAATGCTGCTTTGTTTCAAGATACAAGATATTTATTTGTGGAAACATGAGTATACATACAAAGCATGCAGGTTGTTCAGATACATTAAAAGGATCAATCATGTTTGACCTTTGTGGCGTACAAATGCCTAAGCCAATGACAATAATAATATATAATAAATATCTTACAATTGAAAATTTAATTATTTTTAACACATTTCGTATAGTGGGTGTAGAGAACCGGAGACCTTATTTACTGGAAACGAGGCATTCCTATCTTAGTCCTCAAGGGTGACAACGCATCTGCATTTTGATTATTAATTGAGGATAAATGTAGATGTCTATGGGCCACAGTATCCATTTACCATCAGGTAAACTATGTGCCCATTTGTCACCCTATGCTATGTATATAAAATGGTAATTTGTGTAATAGTGAAAATATTAGAATAATTTTATTTTGAATCGTTACAATTGTTTAATCACCCAGAAAAAGACCTGATCTGGAGCATGGAGAAGATATGGAGGGTTCTATATCGTCTAGTAGTTTGTCGATCAGTGTTAAATCTCTAGCAACAATAAGAAATATAATATAAAATGAATTCCTCAAATTATATTTTAAGAATTAAAATGCATTGTCGCCTACTAGTAGCTGCTATTTCACGCTGGTATTCTGAAATAACATGGTCCTATACGGGTCGAGACGGTGAGAGTCGTTTACATGGAAAAACAACAATTTTATTAAAATTAATATTGGTATTCCATGTGGGAGGTCCTAGTTTAACTTCGCCCTTGTGATGTGTTGTAATGAAGATCACGATGATAGCATTGTCTGCATCAGCAATTTATATTTTAGTTGCTTACTATTAAGATATAAGTATCTATCAGTTACAGTATTTAAAAAATGCTAAAAGTAAAAACTAATAAGTGTTTCTTAAACAGGACTAAAAATTATTCCTTGTGCGGTTTTTAAATTTCAAGTTGTAAAAGGTTCTTATCACCTATATTGTGCTCCCTTGACATTTCTTCCAGGTTCACTAGCTTCCCATGATTTAATTGCGGCTGCAAACTGTAGATCTCTGGTATCGTCACGTTTTGCAAACACTCCTGTGTCTACAGATAATGAGCATTCTAACTGAACGTACGCATCTCCAGGTTGCGGTTGTTGATAAGCGGGCGGTTCCGTTTTTTCCTTATCTTTGGCGGAACTAACCTAAAATGAAAAGAAAATCTACTTTGAAGTCGGTGCTGCAAAAATGTACCATTTCTTTTATGAAAATTATAATGAATCTGTCCTACAATAGGATAAAAGTATTCTCTGAAATATTTATATATTTATTCAGAAAGGGTCACCTGATGGTTTTTAATTACAACCATTCATCATCATCATGGATTACAACCCTCCACAAGTCCACTGCTGAACATAGACCTCCTCCAAGGAATGCCACAAAACACGGTCCTGCCACCTGCACCCATTGACTTCCTGCATTTCTTACCAGGTCGTCACTCCATCTAGTGGGGGGACGCCCTACACTTCACTTACCGGTACTATCTTTACTGAAATTTAATTTATCGCCAGCGAAGCAGGCAGGCAACATCTAGTAAAATAATTTATAATCATCATTATCATCATCATCATCACCACGATCACCATCTCGTAAAAGTCCACACCTGTCTCTCCTAACTCTAATTGCCACCTTGATGTCGTTTCGCATCTTTGACGCTGGCTCCCATCGGCGGCCTCAGAATCTTACGTCAGAAGTGAGTAAGATCACAGGTTACTTAATATAACGTGGCTATTCCGCCATCCTTCAGATACCATGAATGAGATTTTTCTTGCATACCCTACAGTCAGTCACCTTTTACATCATTCACCGGACGCAATGGAGTGACGGATTCTCTTTCGCCATCTCCACACGGTAAATAATTTATATTATACTTTGGGGAAATTAGCTTGACCTAACACGCATATAATTCTAGGTTGAGTCATATTTTCACTTAACCTACTTGAGCGGAAACTCGGCACTGGAAAAAGAACGAGTTTTTTTTTTAATTTCATTTACGGCAAACCTTTTCTCTTAATGATTTCTTAGAGGCGAACTCAGTTTTAAATTCCTGGTAATTTTGAATTTCTATTGCTCTTTTCCACTGAGCTAAAGTGAGCGGCCAACCGTTTGGCGCTCGAACCCTGAAAAAAAATTTAAATATTGCAGTCACATTACTATTTTACTGTTAATTTTCAATAAAAGAAATTGCTTAAAATTTATAAATCTTAATTTAAAAATTTAAAAAGAAAAAATTTTAATTCACTAGAGATTTATAAATTTTAAGTAATTTATTTATTTCACAGTTTTAAAGGAATAAATTGATCTTTACCTACTCGTAAAGAATAAATAATTAATGATTATAATTAAATTTTAATGAATATATTTATTGAGAATATATATACAAATAAATAAAATTGAAGTGTCTGTTTGTAATGTCAAAATTACAGCTTTTTACTAAATGCACATGAAATTATATACGGTACTTATAACAAAAAAACAATTTTGTCTGTCTGTCTGTTTGTTCCGGCTAATCTCTGAAACAGCTGGACCAATTTTGACGGGACTTTCACTGGCTGATGGCTGATTTCATAAGAAGTAACTTAGGCTACTTTTATTTTAGAGAAAGAATTAGGGTTCCGCAAAAAAAAAAAAAAAACAATTAAAGCCCTAAATTACACGCGAGCGAAGTCGCGGGGAACAGCTAGTTATTTCATAAAATAATTAGCTTTAAATGACTTACTCAATTAAATATGCTTTCGCGTCTTGTGATAACCTCTGATCTTTTGCCTGAAACATTTGGAACACATAGATTCACGTGGAAATAATAAAATTTAACAAAATTTATTTTTACCTAGTACTAAATGTCTATGTTAACGCCATTTAGAAATCTTTTTTTTTTATAGAATAAGGGTGACAAACGAGCACACAGTCCACCTGATAGTAAGTGGTTGCTGCGGCCCATAGACATCTACATCTATCCTCTATTACAAATCAAAATGTAGATGCGTTGTCACCCGTGAGGACTAAGATGGAATGCCTCATTTCCAGTAAAAAGGGCCTCCGGCCACCTGCACTAACCCAGCGAAACGCAGAGTTAAATCTCTACCTCACGCTGGTTTTCTGTGAGGTCGTGGTACCACCCCGGTTCGAGCCGGTCCATCCGGGCGACAGCAAAAGCTGCCGCGTGGCTCTACCACTGTTAAAATCATTAAAATACGTACAATACGTAGATTATTATTAAAATACGTACAATACCTTTATAGTTGATCGAGCTTTAATACCAGCACTTGCAGGTTTCCCATATTTTACATTGCGCTGTGATCGAAAACTCGACAAAACCGATTCATTGAGAGGCTGTAACAAAACATCGAAATAAAGACATTCAGTCAGTCTCAACTTATGTTTTAATTTCATTTGTAATTTGAACAAAGATTTAAACAACTTTTTGGATCGCTTAAAGCACTCAAGAAACAGTAAGTTGTATAAACGCCGTCAAACTTTTCGACTACTTTTAGATAAAATCTTAATTTGTTTGCAAGTTTGTTCTTCAATCACGCTTTAACGCCTTGACAGATTCTAATGATACTAGGTATAAAATTTGATTATGTTGTGTTTACTTATTTATTTATTTAAAATCTTTATTACATTCGCTTAGAAAAAAGGTTACAAAGGGCAAACTCAATGTCTAAAGGCATTCCCTACTAGAATTTTTTTAACCGAGTAAGCAGCTATGCAGGTATAGAAAGACCAGTATCTCTACGACCCATAAGATATTAAGTAATCGCTGCTATAGCTATAGCTCACTGCTAAGCCCTATATCTTCAATGTATTGAGGGACTAGCTTAGCTGTGAACAATATCATATCTGGTTACCAGGCTTACTTTTATGAAAAACAATTGGCTTATTTTTTATTACCGCTCATCGCAAGTCCATCCAAACCTTGGTCTCTAATAGATTAACTTATAGGGAGGATATTTGCAGTTGTCATTTGGGTTGACAACAGCAGTTTTCTCTTATTACTGAATTGATATCATTAAGATGTGGATGCTCATCAGTTCCCTTCTATCGCCGCTTACGAAATCTCTACAGAATATTAGTCAATGGATGCTCTCGACAGGCACTAGACCAGTCTCCACATTTTTCCTTTTATATATCAGCATTCGAATCAAACGGTTTACTTCACAGTTTTTCATACCTATAACAATGACCCGGTTGTCAAAATGTGCCGTGATTACGACGAGATTAAGCGTAGTAACGTACATCTAAATATATTTGATAGTAGCCTTGTTAGATTTAAAAGAAATTTACGTTTTTTTATTATTGAATAAGGGTGACAAACGAGAACACAGTCCACCTGATGGTAAGTGGTTGCTGTGGCCCTATCTTCGTTTGTGAATTAAAATGCAGATGCGTTGTCAGCCGTGAGGACCAAGATAGAATGCCCCTTTTCCAGTAAAAAGGGGTCTCCGGTTCTCTACACTCACCATACGAAACACAGCAGCATTAAGCTGCTATTTTACGCTGGTTATGTATATATCTTAATTTTTAATGTATTTTTTTATCTTGCTTATTTTTACTGAAGTTATATTATTATGCTGTGTACACTTTTTTGAATTGTAGTTTAGATCAACACCATCATACTTTTAATTTTAGAACTTTATGTAACTACTGTCTGTTTGTGTACCTTATTCAATAAAATAAAAAATAAAATAAAAATGGAGTGATATAATTTGCTGGTAGAAGTCAAAGAAAAAGTGAATAGGCTTTTGTTAAGTCTTTGCACTTTACCATCTAGGAATATATCACAAATTACCAACAGGTGGAGTAGTAGTGGAGCACTGACTTAACTTTAATTTTGGGTTTTAAAAAAATAGTGATGTGAATAAAATATATTACCGTATTAACATTTGCATGTGAAATAGATTGCAGGGTCATTTCTGCCGGCTCTAGCCTGATGAATGGCCAGTATATCTCTCCTGTACCTGAGCATGTTGCCAACTCTGTAACTTCACCGCTCTTTTCTGTAGTTCGAAGTACTGCTTCCATTTCGAGCTGTTAATCAGATATTTTAAAGAGTATTCAGGCTATATAATTATTTTGTAGCAATTTTACAGACATGTGTTGAGCAGAGGATCAGCGCTCCAAAATTAAGATAATTTAAAGCTTTAATCAATATGTATAAACTAATGAAGAAATTATAATGAATAAATTTAATTAAAATCAAAGTACATTCAATAATTTAATTTTAATTAAATTTATTCATTTTAACATTATAAATAAATATATCATTTTTCGAGATGAAAAATAAAAATTACTCCTAATATTATGTAAATGATTGCCTCGTTGTTCTATAGATAAGAAGAAGTAGCAGGTCAGATTTCAGAAATTGACGGTGTTTCGTCTCCGTACCTTGGAAAGCACGTAAAGACGTCCTGCGTCTGATCTCTATCCTGTAATATTGACGTCCCAATGAACTACGAGAGTAAGAAAATAGAGAATGCATCTGCACTAGTGCATAAACTCATGCACTATAATATAATTCTACGCGGATGGCTAGATTTTGTTGAGTTCTGACCGCCGTGACCAAAATTCGGTTGGGAGTACATTATATTTAGATTGCATACTCGATTATTAATCAAACAGTCAACATAAACGTAGCTCCGGTATTAGTAGCTTGTGTATTTTACGTGGTAGAGCCGCGCTGCAGCGTATTAAGGCTACTCGTATCTTGGAAGACTATGCTTACACAGAACGCCAGTGTAAGCTTGCAACTCGTTACACTGAACTAGTGTTTGTATGACCTACAAATAATTGTCCCGGATCTGTATGTTTGTCCATGAGCAAGGTATGAAAAACGCTGCAGAGGAAAACTTTCAGGCGTGACAACGCGTTTGCGTTTTGATTTTTAATCGAGGATAGATATGAGTGACCCTGGGCTAAAGCCACTTGCCATCAGGTCAAGTCAAAAAATAGCACAATGTCTTAATTTTGCGATATATCAGGGGCTAAGTGCTTAGTGTGAATTAAGAAGCAACCCAAGTTTGATCTTCGCCGGTACCAATGAAATTCTTAAATACAATTTTAAGCGCTGATTTACACATGCTTGGCTGTGAAGAAGTATATTGTGAGGAAATCCTCTCGAAAATGAGAGGTATTTGCCCAGCTGTGAGATTATAAATGCTGTAATTTTACATATACTTTTATAGTGCTAGAAATGAAGTCGTAGGTCCTTGGTCTCAAATCACAGCCAGACCAAACATTTTATTTAAAAAAACACTCACACATAATATTTAAATTATAACTAGCTGATCAGTCAGACATTGCTCTGCCTTTTCCAACGACCATGTGTCCTACAAAACAAATAATTAAATTTACAGTAAAAAAAATTGAGGTCACATATCGGGATAAAAACTATCCTGTCTCTCAATTTGGACCAAACTACACACATTGTGAAACATTTCATTGAAATCAGTTCAGTAGCTTAGGAGTTCATCGCGGACAAACAATATGACACGTAATTTTTATATATAAATATTATTTACATCTGGTGAAGTGGCTGCCGCTCGAAAAGATATTATCTCATGTTTTAAGACATAAATTTGTATTCCACCTAATATATTTCTTTGATTTGGGATAAATATTTCTTCTAAATGCAATTTCGTAACCGATAGTATTGGCAATTCTTTACAACCATCCATTTCATTATCACAAACGTGGAAAACATTTTCAACACTGGACATCATAGTCAATTGCCAACGGATTTCAGAGCTGGCAATCGTAGGTTGCTTTAATATCCCATGACCAATTACTGTATATCTGTAAAAAAAAATCAGAATTCAGGAGATTAAGATACATTCATAATTTCATTTTGATACAGTATTTTAGGTTAGAAATTGTTTCTCAAAGGCTTCGTGCCTTTGGTTTTTGATTTTTTTAACCACTTTCAAAAATATTTTAAGAGTTATATGTGTAATCAATACACATATTATGTTCACTTTTATTTTCTGACATTAAAAAAACAGTTTTTAAAAATATTTTATTAACATTTTATGAAACCATTGAGTTATATGTACTACGTACTAGAGAAGCCATTTCAAACAAAAACTGTGTCCTACTCTATGTCTTCGCGCATGCGTGGGAGTAGTAGTCTCGCATGCGCGAAGACTTTAATTTAATATAAAATAAGATATTAATATAAAATAAATATAAGAATTTAATATAAAATATCTTAATTTCATCTAAACAAACAGGTTATATTTCTAAATAAATTGTAATAATAATTATTTTATGGAATTTACAAATCTTCAATTTACGCAATATTTAGTTTGTAGGGATTGCACTACAGTTCAGTTAACATAGTCAATGTTCGGAATGGCTTCTCTAGTACGTAGTACATATAACTCAATGTATGAAACAATGAAAATAGTTATAAAAGATATTGATTAATACAACAGTTAGACATTAATTAGAAATCAGGTATTCAACTCAGTTGTGACAACGCATCTGCATTTTCATTATTAATTGAAAATAGATGAAAATATCTATGGACCATTGCATCTACTCACCATCAAGTGGACTGTGTGCTCGTTGGTCATCCTTATTCTATATAAAAATAAGATACTACTTATTAGTACCAAAATTACTATAATAGAATCTATAGACGTACTATGAAAAATGCCAAAACTAATATTATGACGTTATAAGGCAATATAAAAACATCAATATATCCAGAACAGCAGTTATGCTAATCCCTACTCTACCTCTAAAACGAGTCAATTATGATTCACCCTCCTATGGAAAATGACAAAAATAATAGTATAACTTACAAAATACCAGCCGTTTTGTATTTATTGTAAAACTCACCCATCAATATTTGGACTAAAATCAAATGTCAAATGAGCTGTGTAGACTTGCGGTAGCTGCTTTTTGGTATCATTGTTGTATACTTCAAACGTACAATTCACTTTATTCATCCCAATACTACTTTGTAAATCAAAATGAATTTTCACTGGGGCATGGCAATAGAACACTGCTTGGAAGTACGGAACCCAAGTGCATTGAGGCGTCACAGGCGAGACGCCGTTATACTGTTTCAATCCAGATGTGCCGGTTAACGCTGATGAGACAGAGTAAGCGCTTTTAGCTCCAGGAAACATGTAGAAAAATTCATTCATTAGCGTTGTTAACGTTTCTTGATTTCCAAATACATTTTCCGTTAACTGAAACAAATGGAAATATTTAACGTTCTGAGCTGTGTAATTAGAGACAGGATCGATTTACTTTGGTTCAGTAACCAAGCATCAATCCATAAACAACTTAGTATTGATTTTATAGTGTCATTATCTAAACAGATTACAACTCGAACCAGTACTGAGTAATATAGTGCAATCGCTTATTTTTAACCGACTTTAATAAAACCGGCCAAGTGCGAGTTGGACTCGCGTAGGAAGGGTTCCGTACCATCGTAATACACTGTTCTAGTAGTGGAGCCCCTTTTAATTTTTAATTAATTTAAATGTTTATTCGTTTTTATTTTAGCGGCAACAGAAATACACATTTTGTGAGAAATTTCAACTATCTACCTATTACGAATCCTATACAGCCAGACGAATGACAGAGAGACGGACTGACGGACGGACGAACAGCGGAGCCATAGTATTAGGGTCCCGTCGTTTACTCTTTAAGTACGGAACCCTAAAAAAGGGAGGAGTTTCTAATTCGACTGTTTTTCTTCATTTCGATTTCAATTTACACATCATTTCAGATCTGAAGGTCATTTTAAGCTTACTTGGAGAACGAGAGTTTTAGAAATATTAATAGCATTACTAAAATCATTTATTATAAATGATAATGTAGTAGTAAGTTAAGGGTTATTAAAATATTAAGGAATTTATGGATGGTAATAACCCCTGGGAATGAGGTGATCGCTACCAAGCTATTTCTAATTTGTTTTGTGTGATTAATTGTGATTACATGATGGTAAGCTGTTATTTTAAAAAAAAGTCCCGCTGGGTTCCTTGCGAATTCTTTCCAGGACAGAGGTTTTTTTTCGAACCAGTGCTAATTAAACAGAAGAGTGACTTTCAATAAGTCCTATTTATAATCTATATTGAATAAAAAAGCGTCTGTTTCTGTTTCTGTAACCTTAATCTTGCTGCCTACAGAACTGAAATAATTAACTGAGAATGCCTGCCAAGTAAAATATATTCAGATTAAGTATGTTGGAATTACCGGGAATACATCACAAGGTTAATTGTGAAAGATAATAATAGTGTGAGAACGGATGTTCAACTTGCTCTTCTGCTTTCCTACGCTATTAATCATTATCAGCAATAAAACAGCAGACTGCGCTGTACACTCAGTATAGAGAAAGTACGGTTCGACCATAATGTAATATGTCCCCGTCACAGTCACAGAGTAGTGTAACATGAGGGACGTAATTACATGATAACAACAAAGTATGCTGCCAACAGCAACACTGGGTAGTGTTGCTCATTCTCTCATGTCATTGTAACACAGAGCAACCTCTCAGCAACACCATTTTCCTTGCCTGCTCTACAAGAATTACTACAACGAACAGAACCACAATACTGTCATTCTACGAGTCTTAGCACTTGTCGAATTTATTAGACGGAACTTGTAGTGACTTGTTTATACTGCACAAACAAGTGGGGGTTTCTCGATATACCCTCAATTCCACCACGCCACCATCGATGTGACACTCCACTAGAGTAGATGCAACCGCTCGATCTCTCTCTATCTATATTTTATATATATAATATTACAAAACCTTGCAAGTTTGTTTAAAGAAAATAATCTTAATTCCTAAGATAAGTTTTGTAAGGCTAAGGTACGTCGCGATAAAAAATTAACTCACATATTTCATAATTTCAGGTGTGACAGTCACACGCGTGTCTAGACATCTCCTCGCCCTGATTCCTCTCCAGTGGGCTTGTATACATGTCGCCGCTTCGTGTCGTTTTATTGTTTTATCTCTTATACTCTTTAGAATCCCACATGGCAATTTTTCTGAAGCAGCATTACAGATTGTTGGTTGGTCATCAACGGTTTTGTCGTCTATGTCCTAAAATTATTTGTAAGTTCGAATTTCATAGAGTTATGTACCATAGCTGTGGATAATTTTTTTTTGTTTGTATAGTTTTAAAAGTTATTTGGAATATGATCATTTGAGCCTTTGTAATATATTTGTATGGTATAAAATTTTGTGAAATCAGTATTAAATATGAAAACGATATTCAAAACATAACTGATCATGATGCTTCTTTTCTATAATGCTAAAAGAATAGATATAAAAATATATTATGTGATATGTCAAATTTTTAATAACAAATGTGTTTCATGTATTGATAACATGCAACCTATCAAATTTATATTGACGAGGATTGCAGATATCAACATCTATATTATACTGTTGGGGACCATATATTGCCTCATAGGGAGAGGGGTATTTGCAATAATTGACAAGTTTGGCAGACGGCTTTCCAAACGCAGTTTGCTTTTTAATATTTTAAGTTGTTATCATGATGATGCTTCTGCTTTAATTTCTCTCAGTCACCTCTTACGACAGCCACGGAATTATAATATGGGGTAGTGGATTATTTTTCGCCGCCACTGAGTGAATAAACGGATGTGTAACCAAATTCATTTTTATATTTTTAATAAAACTAACCGCATCATTATATTGGATTTTAGAAATTTCTATTTCTTCTGCTTCTGATAAAGTACAATCACAAAGATCGTTGATTATTAAATTTTTGGAAGACACTGAAGACAATTCCTTTTTAGATAAACCAAAATCTGGATCATTGAAGTAGTGTTGGAAAATTGTACAAATGGACCGATATTCAAATGGCGGCAGTTTTTTCTCAAGCGTAGACTGTAGTGCTTGTCGAAACATCCAATGTATATGACTCTTACTAAAACCGACTTCTTTCGGATTCCAGTCCAAATCTGGCTGATAAGACCTGAAGAAAAATTTTACTACTATACTATACCTGGATTTAAGACGTTGTTCTACCATTATCGGTAGGTAGCGCGACATATTATACCGTGAATTCATTCCGGATTTATTACCATGTATACGTAAAATATATTTCGGTCACAGCGCCACCTATCGGCCTCAGACTTTTTTAAGAGTTTCGATACACTCCGGACTTATATACTATATAAAAAAATATTTAAATCACAGCGCCACCTATTGGCCTCTGATTTTGTTGGGTTATTTTTGACACTAACCTAACATAAAATGTATTATAAACTGAAAACCCACGCTGACTTCGTCTGGGTAGGATCGATTTATATAGCGTTATTTACATGTAAAATAAGCAAAGATAATTTTATTTTATCAATATTTCGTTTTAACAAAACAAATTTAAGTTTTTTGAACAAGATAAAGCCTTGATCACTGCTGGTATTGCTTTTTGTCTGTTATTAAAGTTTAATTACAGTTGGTTCAGCCATTCTAAATATTAACCCGTGAAGGTATACATACAGACACTATTATTCTAAATATTTTAAATAAAATGTTTTTCATGTCTTTATGTCTTGAAAATGACCAACTCAGCTAAATATAAGGCAGTTATTTGGATACCACAGATATCTATAGATTAAAGTTTTATATATGAATATAGATATAAGTATTTTTGGTTCATAAATTATAGAGTATTATTAATAACTAGACTACAGCGCAATCTATCCAAACCTAGCGTAGCTATGAACTATCATATCAACTAAAACAAACAGGTATATTGTGTCAATATTACCACAATCGACCAAGTCGTAAAGAAGTTACGCGATCACTAACAGACGAACCAACAATTATATATAAATTATAAAGATTATTCTGATTATAAAGCACTCCATTATTCATTGTTTTCTATGTCGGGTTAAGAAAATTTCCTTCATGGATTTGCCAGTCCCCAAATCAAATTATAAGCTTGTTTGGGTAAGAGAATTAATTTTTTAATAACAAAAGGTAAAATAAGGCATATAAAGTTGTTATAAAAAGCTTCATATGCCTCATTTTACCTTTCTAACGATTAACTGTTAGAATAATCAACCATTAAAATACAAGCCAACATCCCGTCATCGCCCTCAAATCGGCTAGTGATCGACTAGTGCTGCCGGAGATCAGATATCGCTATACGTTATTATAATTTTCTTAATGTATCACGTGCCGTGCATATCGTCCCGTGAGTGTCGTTTGATGCGACAAATGTAATAAAAACAGGAGATGGGCCTAACAACAATTAAAAACACTGCAGTTGCCAAACCTTAATCTTAATCTATATTAATGACTTACCTTATCTTGTAGGGGACAATCACGATATAGTATTATTTGCTGACGATACCTCTTTAATTTTCAAACTGAAACGGCAGTCAATTAAATATGACGATGTAAATAATGCTCTATCGAAACTAGTACATTGGTTTAACGCCAACAATTTGCTCTTAAACGGCAATAAGACAAAATGTATTAAATTTACAATACCTAATGTAAAACATTCGAAAACCAATGTGCTCTTAAATGGGGAGGAGTTGAGTCTTGTGGATACCACTGTTTTTCTCGGTATTACTATTGACGCGAAACTTCAATGGGGCCCCCATATATCTAAATTAGCAAGCAGACTTAGTTCTGCAGCATATGCTGTAAGAAAGATTAGAAGTCTCACAGATGTTGAGACAGCTAGGTTAGTGTATTTTAGTTACTTTCATAGCGTAATGTCTTATGGAATTTTGCTATGGGGTAATGCGACTGATATTGAAGCTATATTTGTTTTGCAAAAGAGAGCCATACGGGCGATTTATAATCTAAATTGCAAAGAGTCCCTTAGAGAAAAATTTAAAGAAATAAACATAACATAACTTTGGCATCGCAATATATTTATGAAAATGTAATGTATGTACATAAAAACATAAATAGCTTTAATAAGAATAAGGATGTTCATACCTTAAACACTAGGAACAAACATAAGCTTGTAATGCCACTTACAAGACTCCACAGAATTAGTAATTCATTTATGGGGCAATGTATACGCTTTTACAACAGAATCCCAGAACATGTTCAAAGTTTGTCAACAAACAAGTTTAAAAGTTTTATTAAAGAAAAACTGTACAAAAAGGGTTATTATAATATCAAGGAATACATGAATGAAAATAACCCCTGGGAATAAGGTGATCGCCACCATGCTGGTTCTATGAAAATTCATTTAAAATTGTATAAACAAAATTATTGTTAAGTGAAATTATGTTTAAAAAAAAAGTCCCGCTGGGTTTCTTGTTGGTTCTTCCCAGGACAGAGGTATTTTCCGAACCAGTGGTAAATAAAATAATGACTTTCAATAAGTATTATGTAATAATCCATATTGAATAAAAATCATTCTATTCTATTCTATTCCTGTCTGCCAAGCGTGACAACTGTGGCAAATATCCCTATATGAGACGATGAGTGACAGTGTAACGACGACGGTAAGTAACAATAATAATGTCCTCCAGACCGAATTTCGGTCACGGCGGCCAGTCTCAACGGAGACTAGCCATCGACTCAGGACAGGATTATAGTGCCCAAGTGTATGCGCAAGCACAGGTGCACCATCTATTCCCTCACTCTCATAGTCCGATGGGACGGTAAACCGACACGACCGGAGAGATATCAGGCGCAGGACCAACGGCTTTACGTGCTTTCCGAGGCACGGGGGTGAGACACAGCCAACTTCCGTACTACGGGCAGCTACTGAGAATTTTTTGATGGAAAAACTCAATAACTGATTTTTTTTGGCCCGACTCGGGATTCGAACCCGGGACCTCATGATCAGCAGTCGCTTTACTACAACCACTGGACCAACGAGACAGTCACAATAATATAATAAAGAAAGAAATAATTCCTAACAAGGGAAATGTTGCAATAGACACCAAGTTTCAGTTTGGGTATGGAGTAGTGTGTTGTTACACCATCAATATAATGGCATATTACGTTTTAAATTAATTATCTTCTTTGATAAAGTCTTACCTATAAAACTCTCGGTCTGCGGACGTTAGACACGAGTTCGATTTATTGGTCCGCATAAAATTCTGAAATGCAGTACCAAGGGTGGTTAAAAACCTTGATGCCCAGGGACACACTCGTATAGAAGCCATTTGGATGACGTCACGGGTGCCGACATGTATTGTTGATTCGCTTAGTAGCATAACGTACCACGGAACTCTTGAATGGATCCACAACCTAACAAATACGAAAAAAATATTTTATAACAAAAATTACTATCTTTTTTTTCATTACAGTCCATCACAAGTTTTTTTTACGTGATAGAGCCATGCTGCAGCTATATTAGTAGTATAGTTGTAGTACGAATGGGTCGGCTCGCCCGGGGAAGGACCACGCTCTCACAGAAAACCAGCGTAAAATAGCAGCTTAACGCTGCTGTGTTTCGTATGGTAAGTGTAGAGAACCGGAGACCCTTTTTACTGGCAAAGAGGCATTCCAGCGTAGTCCTCACGGGTGACAACGCATCTGTATTTTGATTCGCAAACGAGAATAGATGTAGATGTCTATGGGCTACAGCAACCACTTACCATCAGGTGGACTGTGTGCTCGTTTGTCACCAAGTCCACTGTTGAAATTAGGTCTCCTCCACCGCTTGCCACAAATTACGGTGCTGAGTTACCTGCTTCCATCGACTACTTATGCGTTCAGGTCATTACTGCGCTTTCCAAGCTGCCACTCGAAAACCTTTCTTCCTCATCGGTTGTTGTCACTTCAGCTTACTGATCTGCTGAACTACGTTGGTTAGGCTTGTTTTGGCTGGGAAGAAATTCCGAGCAAAATTTTTGCCACCGCACGCTTAGTGACTGAACTTCTTGATAAGGCTAGCAGTGAAGGACCACGTTTCAGTTTCATAAGTCATCACTGACAAAACGCAATGGTTATACTAAACTCTTTTTAATTCATATTTATTTAATGCTAATAAACTATGGCATATATTTACTATACATCATAGATAGACGCTATAGACTAACTTAGATACACTATACACGTTACCAGTAAAATGGTAACGTGTATAGTATAATAATTTCGCTGTTATTTTACGCTGATATTTTGTACAAGCGTGGAACTTTCTCGATAGAGCCGACTACGTGGATATTCCGCGGACAATTTAGATAATCAATTTAAATATAAACCTGCAAAAATGTCTTCCTGGCTTAAATGAAACCTCTGTTGAATCGTATCCTCGAGTCTGCAAGTAAGCTTTTGATTTTGGAATTTCACAATCAGTGAACCATTGAAATGTTTCCAGTAATACGTATCCAGGCTCCACGTACTCCTCTATCGGTTGATTTGCGTTTAAAAATACTCTCGGGTGGAGCATGCTACAGGAAATTTTTAAATACATTTCTTCTGGGGCGTCAATTTGAAGATATAGTGGTGCGTTCTTTGGAGCCGGAATGTCAATTTCCTTGTTTGGTGGCAATTTTGTTATTCTCATCGGAGGATTACTAGCTATTGAGCAAAATTGGTACATTGATGGAAAACAAAGTGTACTTATGCTTTTCATTAGTTTCTGAATCTGAAATTTAAATTATTTCGGTAATTTCACGTTCTTATGATAAAAATAGATTTGATATTAATAAAATATAATTTATTTTGAGTTCAGTAAATTAAAATACGTCTTCTCATTGACTACAATAATCTTTTGCGCCTACACATCTTTTCATATACCTCAAAACCTTAAAAAAGCGTGTACAACCGGTGCCGGTGCCAGTGGTGACATATGTATCTGAGACATAGTCTTTCACTGCTGGTCGTATGATGAATCTCAAGGTTGCTTAGTATGCTATGGAAAGAACTATGTTCGGAGATTCTCTGCACAATAGGAATCGCAACGAAGATATCTTTAGTAAAACGAGGCAAAATGACTAGCCAAAAGAATCAGTAAGCTGAAGTGGCATTCGGCCGGTCATATGTATCGCCTGTGTGTGCAGAACCGTAGTGGCAACGCATCTGCATTTTGATTCACAAACGAGGATAAATGTAGATGTCTATGGGCCACAGCAACCACTTACCATCAGGTGGACTATGTGCTCGTTTGTCACCCTATCCTATAAAAAAAACACTAGTAAGCGGAGTATATGACCTCCTCCCACTAGTTGAAGGTACGACTGACTGAAATTAGATCCTCAAATACAGGCGTCACATCATGTCTTAGGGTTTTTTTATATGGGATAGGAGTGACAAACGAACACACAGTCCAATTGTAGGTAAGTGGTTGCTGTGGCTCATAGACATCTACATCTATCCTCGATTTCAAATCAAAATGCAGATACCTTCTCATACGTGAGGACTAAGATGGAAAGCCTCTTTTAAGAATGGTTTCCGGTTCTCTACACTCACCATACGAAATACAACAGCGTTAAGCTGCTATTTCACGCTGGTATTCTGTGAGCGCGTTGTTCTTCCCCGGTCGAGCCGACCCATTTGTACTACAACTATACTAGATATATAGCTGCAGCATGGCTCTGCCACGTACATATAATAAGTACATTAACCACGTATAATAAGTTAGGGTATATTGATCACCGCAAATTTTGTACTTGCAATATGTTTATCAATAATTTTATTATTAGTATTATTACTTTTCTCTTTCCACTCCATTTCAAGGCATTCCTTTAAGACTACTGCTCCATTATACTTATCATTACAGCCCATTTTCCACAAACATCCACTGCTAAAATTAGGTCTCCCACAAAAAATGTCACGTCACCCTATCGAGATTAAAATTAATTTCACATCACACGTTCGTTGTTATTTGCAATTTAACGCGCGGATTTACCACGTGTTCTTGGTTAAAGGATAACATAGTGAGAAAAATCACATGTCTGAGGAGTAATATATTTTCCAGTACATGTGCAATCTACCAACACGCACTGAAGTAGCACCGCGTACAAATTGCTCTCTATCCCTCTCAAAAAATGAGGCCTGTGCCCAGGTGTGAGACGTATATCCTGTAACTTACTGTCTTGTTGATCTAGTAGTAGTTGGTATAGTCGTAATCACAGTTGCTGATCATGAGGGCCTAGGTTCAAATTCCTGGTTGGTCCAAAAATCAATTATTGGGTTATAATTTTGAGCGGTTAGCCAACGTAGAGTCTATATCACCTGAGGATGCCTCGTGTAGAGGCGAAACACGTGTCGTATTAATGCGGTTAGCCACCGTAGAGTCTATATCACCTGAGCATGCCTCGTGTAGAGGCGAAACACGTGTCGTATTATCGTCAGTGGTATGTCTTGCCTAGTGTAGTGGTGTTGGGAGTAGCGGTGCTGGCATTAGTGGTGACGGGGATAGTGCACGCAATTGAGGGAGGGCGGGAGGTGCTCTTCATACTAGGTAAGACACATCATTTTATTTTATAACGCGGATATTTACGAAGTAAATTTTTCTAAAAGATTTTATATAATGGATTTCCGCAAAGTAACGCCTGATTCTATTAATTAAATTATTGGGTTTTTTTGATCAAAATAATGCGCAATAGCAGTAAGGAGGTTGACGGTGTTTCACCCCACGTTCCTTGGAAAGCACACAAATCCGTAAGTCATTCACCTGATCTCTCTATGAGAGTAAAAGAATAGCGACTGCACCTGTGCTTGCAAATAAACTTATGCACTATAATCCTGTCCTGCGCAGACGGCTGGACTCCGTTAAGACTGGCCACCGTGACCGAAATTCGGTCATACACACACGCGCACACACACTCACTCACACATACACAGACACACACACACGCGCATTTGCTTTTCATATATTTATTATTTTTCATACACCTAATATTACCTAGATTATAGATTGGTCTGTAGGTGGGGGCTGGTGATCTGTCATACAGGGAATCCTAGTGCGGACACCAGTCTCTCACAAATTGATTATAGCATATTAATTTTAAGTTGTATGTTTATGTTAATTATTAAATTTGTGAAAGAAAAGAATAAACTTTATTATTATTATTGTTATTATTCTGTAAATTCACTTTACCATATTATGAAAATAAAACAAATCTCAATATTGGGTAATTTATACATGGCAGAGTCACTCAACCACACTCTCACATATTACCAGTATCAAAAGCAGCTTACTACTGCTAGTAGTTTGTATTTTATCCGTATTTTATTTTACTGGAAACGAGGCATTCCACATTAGTCCCCCGAGGACTAAGATGTAGGAGTAGATGACAACTTTAATTTATGGATGATATGATGACAGATTCTAATTTATGGATGATAATAACCCCTGTCAATGAGGTGATCGCTACCAAGCTATTTCTAATTTGTTTTGTGTGGTTAATTGTGATTACATGATTGTAAGCTGTTATTTAAAAAAAAAGTTCTGGGATTCTTGCTGATTCTTCCCAGGACAGAGGTTTTTTTTCGAACCAGTGGTAATTAAACAAAAGAGTGACTTTCAATAAGTATTATTTATAATCTATATTGAATAAAAAAGGTTCTGTTTCAGTTTCTGTTTTAACGCATCTGCATTTTGATTCTTAATCAGATCAGATGGATCTGTGCTCGTTTGTTACCTTTATTTTATAAATAATTTAAAGTTCAGAATTTTGTACAACCGACTTCAATATTAAGAATAACTACAGGTAAGACCTTGATGAAATTTATACGGGACCATATGTGAAGCATCAGCTTTCAAATAAAAAAAGAATTATCGAAATCAGTTCCCCCAGTAAAAAGTTATAAGGTAATACACATAAAAAAACATACAGTCGAATTGAGGTACCGGCTCCTTTTTGAAGTATTTTTTTTATAGAATAAGGATGACAAACGAACACACAGTCCACCGGATGGTAAGTGGTTGCTGCGGCCCATAGACATCTACATCTATCTTCGTTTGCGAATTAAAATGCAGATTCGTTGTCAGCCGTGAGGACTAACATGAAATGCCTCTTTTCTAGTAAAAAAGGTCTCCGGTTCTCTACACTCACCATACGAAACACAGCAGCACTAAGCTGCTATTTTACGCTGATATCCTGTGAGAGCGTGGTCCTTCCCCGGTCGAGCCGAACCATTCGTGCTACAACTATACGAGTACTTTTAATATAGCTGCAGCATGGCTCTACCGCGTATAAAGTCGGTAGAAAAAAAATATTGTTGTTAAAACAGCTACAAAGAATATTGTAAAAATATTATTAAAGTTCTATTTTCGACACGTATGTTTTATTATGTATGTTCAAGGATTTTTTGGAAACGGCTAAACCGATTTAGATATGTTTTTATTCTCATTCTTATTCTTTTTTTTTATTAAATAGTTATTTAGGGATTGTCCCTCATAAATTTGAACAAAATATTATATCCTCCAGGGTAGAAAATTGGGTGTAAAAATAATGGAAAATTCCAAGGTGGGTTTTCTTGGCTTGGATTGGAACTAGTCGGGTTAGTGATATTATGCGCGACTGCTGATCATGTAGTCACAGGTTCGAATCCTGGATTGCGCCACAATCTCTTATTGCGCTTTTCTGTCAATAAATTCTCAACAGTAGACCCAAGTCAACAAGTTGGTGGTATCCAGTCTCGGAAAGTTCGTCAACCATTGGTCCTGCGCCTGATCTCTCTCCGGTCGAGTCATATTACCGTCCCATCGGAGTATGAGAGTGAGACTCCTCTCTATATAGATTAGGGAGTTGCGTAACAGCCCACAATGTCACAGATCGACCAACTAAGATGTTTATGCCATATAAAACATTTTACACCATTTACGCAGCGACCCGGGAATCGAACCTGCGACCGCTGCAAAATTAATGATAAATGCCAAGAAGGACCTAGGACCGGCCCATAGTAATGGGCCGTGAGAAAAGTCCAGGCAATGGGAAGTGCCCCGAGGCCTGATACCTGCAGTGCTTCCAGCACTTGCAGAAGAAAACAACGTAGAGGGAACGGAGAGTACACCTGTGTTTGCGTCCACAATCGTGCACTATTATTTGGTCCTGCGTAGATGGCTAGTCTCCGTCTAGATTTGCCACCTCGACTGAAATGCTGTTTTGAGGATCTTATACTCCTTAGATCAATAAAAAGGTAAAAAGAATAAAGTTATTTTCATATAATATCTTTTGAAATGGGAGCACTGAATCTTCTACACACTAAGTCTTAACACCGACTACGTTTATTTTCTTACTTTTGTTTTTAGAAACGTTAAGTCCACATTAGGATTTTCTCCTGTATCCTGGGAGAAGTTTGCATACCTACATTTTACAAGGACAAACATCCAGATCCGGAACAATTAATTTTAAGCTGTACAAATACTTGTCGAACCCACGGGACAACACACACTTTGCTATTGCTAGGCCACTGCACCACGAAGCCGTCAACTTCAGAAGCTATTACATAAAAATTACTTTATTCATTTAGTTTTGAAATCCATATTTTACTTTTATTATAAGACTAATATTTTTTTGTGTTAAAATACTCTTGTGTTGTATAAATATTTCTGGCATTGTTGTTTCAAAAAAGTATCTCAAGAAGCTGAATCTAAACATAAACTTATTCGAATCGAAATATATCACGGCTTTGTATCTTCTATTGTGCGCTACGGTATAATTTTTTTTTTTATAGTAGAGGGGGCAAACGAGCATGCGGCTCACCTGATGGTAAGTGACTACCGCCGCCCATGAACAACCGCAACACCAGGGGAATTGCAGATGCGTTGCCAGCCTTTAAGAAAGGGGCAATGCTGCTACAAGGAGCGAAGATACATTTAAAGCGCAAAAAAAGTGTGTGTGCTATAGCAAGTATACCGAGTACAGAAAGCTGTAAACCAAAATTTAATAGAATTAAGTTATTGGCATTTCTCGCAATGTATATTTATGAAGTAGTGACATTTGTAAAACCTAATCCTGAAATATTTCAAGATTACTTAATAACAAACGAGTTGAATGTAAATTCAAGAAAAACAACTTCCTTCTGCGTGAATCCTATATCTCTGGTGCCCTTTGACCTACAGGACCCGAATTCAAACTTGACCGAGCTACTACCTCAAGGTATCCACATACCAAATTTTAAGTCAATCGGTCCAGTGGAACGGAAGTTATCGTGTCGGCATACAGACTAACAGACTGCCAGCTAAAACCATTAACTTCCTTTCAATGCTACGTAGAAGGAAGTTAATAATCGACGTAAAAATAAAATTCATGCAATTTCATCAAAGACTTACTTAGAAAAAGCGTTTTCGGTGTATTGTCTAAAATCTATAATAAGGTTCCATCTATGTTTCATGAAATGGAAAATATTCATAAATTAAAAGAAAAGGAATTTAAGACATTTCTAATTGAGAAATGCTACTACTCAATTAATGAATATTTAAGCGACGAATCAGTAGGCATATTCTTTTTAATTTTTTTTATAGGATAAGGGTGACAAACGAGCACACAGTCCACCTGATGGTAAGTGGTTGCTGTGGCCCATAGACATCTACATTTTTCCTCAATTACGAATCAAAATGCAGATGCGTTGTCACCCGTGAGGACTAAGATGGAATGCCTCGTTTCCAGTAAAAATGGTCTCCGATTCTCTACACTCACCATACGAAACACAGCTGCATCAAGCTGTTATTTTACGCTGGTATTCTGTGAGAGCGTGGTCCTTCCCCGGTCGAGCCGACCCATTCGTCTTACAACTATACCAGAAATATAGTTGCAGCATGGCTCTACCACGTATATTATAATGATATTGCATAAAATATTTTTTTTGACATTCGATTAGACTATTATTGTAAATATACCATTCTAATGAATGAATAATTACATCATCGTTGAAAATTCTAATATAATTATAATGTAAATACTATAATGAAATAATTTAATTGTGGACATGTAATAGGTAAAATTGTAACTATAATGTTTATTTACCTAAGGGTTGAATGCAGTGAACATAATTTTTTTTAAGATCCATTCTGTATCATTACCTGTATTCACAAATAAACAAATAAAATAAAATTTGAATTCGAATCTTACTTACTGCATCGAATTGAACCCATTCGCGTAATTCTTCTCTTAACTGGGCCACCGTTTCACTAGTTGTAACTGAAGGATATTTATCTTTACCAGTTTTCTTAATCTGCAATAAACAAGGATTTATTGAACTATTAAACATATAAGAATGAATTATATGTTTTATATTTGAGTTAAAACAACATTACCCCAGGGGTTGTTCGTGCATGTTCTTCTCTAAAACCGAATGTTATCTGAAAATAATAACTAGCCGATAAATATACATTTGTATTTTGTTTTTTAATTCAGATTATTACTTGCATGTGGTATCCATATGTAATTATTTGTACATTTTAGTTCTTGTCAGTTCATTGTATTTAAATAGAATTTAAGGAATGATAAAAATGTTGGTGGATCAATAAACTAAAAATAAATAAATAGATATGTGTCTATGGGCAGCACCCACATACCATAATGCAGAATGAGTGCTCGTTTATCACCTCACCCTTATTTTTCTATAGAAAAACCATGAACATATAACTTTCAATAAATAATTAAAAAGTTAAAAATTTTATATAACCGACTTCAAAATAAATTATTAAGAATAACTCAAAAATTATTGATCATAACTTGATCAAATTTACAAGGGACCACTTGTGAAGCACCAGCTTTCAAATAAAAAAAGAACCATCGAAATCAGTACACCCAGTAAGAAGTTATGAGGTAAGACACATTAAAAAAAAAACATACAGTGGAATTGAGTACCGGCTCCTTTATGAAGTCGGTAGAAAATGAAAGCTGACTTCAAAGTACTAAAAATAATGAAATTATTTCCAAATAACTTCTAATGTTGGTGCTAAGACATAGTGTATCGAGGTATTAAAGATTCGATTTCAGAAATTATTAATTGGAAATTATTTCCATCTTTTAAGTTATATGAAGTCGGCTTTTAATCTATTAAAAGTTATTTTTTTTATTATTTCGGTTGGTCTAAAGAATATCGCAAGTTCAAAATAACAAATTGAGAGTTCAATCTTTTAAATAGTTACATTTAAATCAACACATCCTCTATTATTCCACCTTTAGGGGTACATTTATTCTGAAAATATATATGAGACCACTACTGTAGTAGAGCCTATTCATAAAATCAGTTTATAAACAATGCAGTTATGTCTGAGCATACATACACAGTGTATGTAACAAATGAATAGAGAATCTCCTCCTTGTTTGAAGAAATCTAAGGAATGAAGAGGCCACCTATTCTAGGATAAAATTTTCATAAATAAGACAGTGAGTTGTTGATATAGAAGGAGAAACTAGTCCTAACCTAAAGATAGTCACAATTTTATTATTTTGTACAAGCCGGGAAAAGTGTATAGCTGGACATGGACCTGTCCCTTTCTAGGTAGGATTGGCCTTAACTGTCAAGCTTGGCAGGTACATAGATGATCCTCCTACCAAATGCTTCGCACTTTTGACCAGATACATCAACGTGTGGAGTAAATGACATCTGTCGGAAGCTATATAATTTTCTGGTATTTCCCAGGATTTTTCATGTTAAGGATGATAATTTCAAAATTGAAATTCTAATAAACTGAAAAACTCATGCAAGCATATGGCAGGATACCTTTTCTGCCTTTCTTGCCTGCCTTTACCTCCCTCTTACCTATTTCTGCCGCCACAGAATAGTATTTGCACTGTTGTGTTGCAGTATGAAAGGTAAAAAGGGGCCAATACAATTATAGGCTGTGGGGCATTCCAGCTTAACTCTCAGAGGTGACAATGCAGCTCCAGCATTCCCAGTTTGAGGTTGGCGGCAGCTTACCATCAGGTAGACCGATAGATCGTTTAGCTTTTCTGTTTAAAAAAATAGATAATAAAACCTTTCTAACCGATTCAGTACTTTGAACGTCCAATAAATGCGGTGCCAGAGACAGTTTTAGCAAACCGCTCATTTTCAAAAACCTTGTTCTCGGACAATCGTACTCTTCATACAATCCATGTTTGCGCGCCCAATCTATCCAACGATGATGTTTCCACGGTGCTACCTCTAAAATAGAATAAGTTCAAAATATAGTTAATTAATTTAGCCCCTAAAGGACGCTCTAGACAAAAGTTTATCGACCAAATTGGCAATATACTTGTTGAAGGTGAGCCAGATTAAGAGTACCCTTAACCGACGCGCACGTATGCGCAGGTGTGTCAGGATCGTGCCAAGTAAAAGTCCGTAGCCTCTAACTACCCTTCTGGCTGACAAGCGTATGTTTATATATTAGGCCGCGTTCCGACGACACGCACCCGCTACGCGCGTCTACACCCGCGTCTAACTCGCTTTGAAATTTGTTGCATATAATTTGAATCTTATGACAAACCTATCTTCAAGTTTTTTGGATAAAGTATAACATAGATCCCTTATTTCACTCGATTTTTAAGTATATAATGTTTGCTTTAATATATATAATTCAAATAAAAATTATCCATGAGCAATACTATAAGCTAAAAGTAATATCTTCATCTCATTCCATTATTTACTAAAAGTAACTCATCTATTTATTATTGAAGTTAGGCCGCGAAACGAAAAACTAGTCCACTTGATAATAAGTGAATGCCGTGACCCATAGAATCTTACTTTTACCCTCGATTAAAATCAAAGAATGAGAAATTTGTTAAGACCTCGTTATTATAAGAGGGGTTTTCTGTTCCAGGCACACGCCATTCGAAATACAATAGCAATATGCTTCTTTTCCACGATGGTATTCGACGAAGTACCACCCCTTCTTCGGTCGATACATTTATACTTCAGGCTTAACATTCTGGAAGATAGCTCATTAATATTATTGCAGACCATACTAAGGCAATGCCACGGCTTTCGCTTAGCCCACAGACTAATTGTCTTTTACCGCATTTTATCATGTATCCATCGTCCATCCACTACAGGCAACATTGAACTCTCCTAAAGATGGACGCCTCATAGAAGGGAAATTTTAGGGCTTTATTTGGCACGCATGGCAGGTAGGTTAAAAACAACATTATTCTTTCGAGCTGATATCAAGAAGATACTGTTGCCTATCTCTTTTTTCATTTCCTTTGCAGCCTCTTACGACACACGTAATGTGATATGGGGTATTAGATTTTCTTGTATCGCCACTACACGGCGTTCATTTAGTACTCATAAATTAAAAAAAAAAAACAAAACACGCGTGAGTGTCGTAGAACACTCGGTTGGAACGAATTTCCTTTTGTAGTACATTGCCATTGAAAATAACGTATTATATTATTGATTAAAAAATATAAATAAATGAATTACTAGCCTCTGTTGTATTTCTTTCTTGTCAAGGTAAGAAAAAGTGCGAGGGAGATGGATATTATGCAATCTCGCTTGCACTATAGAAAAGGTCGTGACGGAAAAATCTTACACTTTTATTCGCCTTTCCCCCATTCGCCAAATTCGTATCGTGCGATAAGGAACTTCGTTCCAAAACAATATACTTTCCTTTTAGTTACCTGGCTCTGGTAATGGTTTCTTTAATGGCAAGTCTCTGGCCATAACTACAAGCAAATGCATTTCAAATGCTGGTGTTATTCCGGGCAGTGTAAAAGGTGGCACATTTCTTGTCTCCTCGATAAGTACAGTAGTCAGCGAGCGTCGCTAAAATATGAATTAACAAAAATAAAGAGTAGTCAAATGAATGGAATCGACTTACATACAAACATTTTAAATAAAATATATAATAATAAATGCTCTCAAACGAGGACTATCTTTTCAGTTCCTACGCGTGATAGAATTCATAATGAAGTGATTACAGACAATTGTACGTGTTCTGTGAAGTTTCTTGGGAGATAACAACGGATCTGTATTGGATATATGAATGGTATGATCATGATGATGATAATGATAAAGATAAGAAACAAAATAATCAAATCGATCCATAAAATCACTTACATGCTCATTAATAGAAAGTAAGTCCCTTGTCATCTTTAAGAAATAGATTGAGCGCAACTTTCTATGGGCAGAACGTCTTCAGGCCGTGTTTTTTTTTTATAGGATCGGGTGAAAAACGAGCACACAGTCCACCTGATGGTAAGTGGCCGCTGTGGTCCATAGACGTCAACATTTATCCTCGTTTGCGAATCAAAATGCAGATGCGTTGTCACCCGTGAGGACTAAGATGGAATGCCTCTATTCCGTGTAATGTAAGTTAGATGCCGCTATTTTATTTATTTGTTGTTTTGATGAGATTTAAGAGTTTTTACATTGTTATAATTATTCTATTTCACGATGAAGTTTTGACTTTGGCTCTTGTTAGCCGTGCACATACACATTGTGTTAGTGTGCGTAGTGCATTTCTTAATTTGATGTCAATTTTTATGACTATAAATATTTATTATAAATAGTAGCTGGTACACAGTACGTTGCTGCCACAGAAAAAAATATTATCGAAATATCGTTTTAAACTTGGAAGAGTTATGTTGTTTAATTAGGTTTTTAATTCTTCTCTATCGTGGAGGCAGTTTACAAACATAGATTGCACGAGGACAAACATCCAGACCCGGAACAATTACTTGTAGGCCATACAAATACTTATTCCGTGCGGGATTCGAACCCGCGGTCCCCAGCACAACAACTCATTGCTAAGCCACTGCGCCACGGAGCCGTCCTTGAAGTTGAATGATGTATAACTTTCAAATAAATTTATTGGTACGATACCTACGCCACCTATTGTAAGTTAATTTTTATATAATCTACTAAGCCAGCGCTTATTTACAATCCCACGTGATGGTAAGTGGTAATAAAGCCTAAGATGGTGAAGCGCAATGACTTAACAAAAACCTATTTACTCTTGCCTTATAGACACCCATACTGTAATCGGATGGAAAGACAGATGCTGGCAACTTATTCCACTCCTTTGCTGTACGCATGATGAACGACTCCGCCAACCGTTTGGTTCGAATGCGTGGTAAGTCAACAACGAAAGGGTGGAGACTGGCCATATGTCTGGTTGTCCAATGAGGAAGGCAAAGGGAGGAATGGGGAATCTTGGTCGCTAACCGGCACGTTGGGGCCACCCTGGGATTTTTGGCTAGTTGGTGGGGCAGCCTTTCATGAATAGCTAATTCACTAATTGAGCCCCCAACTACCTACGGTCGGCCAGTGGAACACCGTGCTTCGGATCCCGCTACCCTCCACCACGAAGCACCCGACACAGTAACAACTGACGCTTCGTACCCGGTGTACAGACACAACGATACTGTTCAGACTCATTCTTTCCATTACAATAACCTTCGCACAAATGCAAGCAATACTTTGACAAAATTTTAGCGCAATCTGATGAATGGTATGGCAGTGCACAAAATACGAACAAACAAAAATTAATTTTAATATTTTAGATTTGGCATTTATTTTTAATTAACTTTTATGAGACATTTTATAAAAGGAATGCAAACCTTGATTACTGAATTTTCTTTGGTGCCAGGTTTTTTTGTTTTAGATTTTACATTACTTGAATATGTTTCATCGTCCTCATCCCATGTAAAAAGTTGCACTTCTGTAGTAATCAGTTTCCATAGTTCATCAGCGTCTGGTTATTCATACAAAGTTTTGTTTAGGTAAAGCTTAACTTTGTCTATGAAAAACGTCTAGGAGTAAAAGATATTATAATGGAATAATAGATTTAAATATTTCTCTATAGGTACATAGGGATATTGCTTCTTGGTCCTCAGTGGTGACGACGCATCTGCATGGATTTTTAACATAAAGTGTTCATGGGCGAATGCATTCCTGGAAACGCCTATGTGTAGCAGTAGACTTTAAATGCTAGAGATGTGATAAGAGTTGACTGCTTTTTACCGACATAAATAGCTTATAGGGTGCCACTGCTCAGCGATCTGCATATTATTTGTAAAGTCATGATTAAATGTGTATTATTTTAATATTATATCGTAACATTTTATATGTGGTAGAGCCATTCTGCAGCTATATTAGTAGTATTATACGTGGTAGAGCCATGCTGCAGCTATATTAGTAGTATAGTTGTAGCACGGATAGGTCGGCTCGACCAGGGAAGGAACACGCGCTCACTGAATACCAGCGTAAAATAGCAGCTTAATGCTGCTGTGTTTCGTATGGTGAGTGTAGAGAACCGGAGACCCTTTTTACTAGAAAAGAAGCATTACATCTTAGTCCTCACGGGTGACAACGCATCTGCATTTTGATTCGTAAACGAGGTTAATTTAAAAGATGTCTATGGGCCACAGCAACCACTTACCCATCAGGTGGACTGTGTGCTCGTTTGTCACCCTATCCCATAAAAACATATTATAATAACTTAAATTAAAAAAATTATAAACCACCAAACAAAAGATGTGATGACCTTGAAACGGCTGAACTGATTTTCTTGAATCAATGCTAAGAACAGCAAACTTCTAACAAAATACTACTAAATCAAAATCGGTTCGTCGGTTGGGGCTCAACAATGCCACAAACAGACGAACAGACACAAACGTTAAACTTCTAACATCCCTCCGTTTTAGTAGGGGGTTAAAAAGGATATCTTACTTACAATTTGGACCTTGGACGAATGACCTTATTTTACCCTAATGATCCAAAAACATTACTAATTCATAGAAGAAAAATATAAACTATTCACTTTCATCATCCAAAACAAAATCCGTAAGGCATGTTTCCATCATTTTGATATTTATAGCAAAAATATCCACATGTAAGAATATCCACTACCGCTATCGTCCCAGGATTGTCGTAGGAGGTGACAGAGGGAAAATGAAACACGAGGGCTCACCTCGTGTTTCAATTTCCCTCTGTCAGTAACATCTTCCTGATAAAAACCCAAATTGATAAAAATCTTCGGTTGCCAACCCGCTTGGCAACTATGGCGAATTCCGACCATGAGGCATTCAATGAGGTGGAACTATGTCCAGCAGTGCACTTTTATATGATGTAATGCATGGATATGAATGGATGGATTTATAGAATTTGGTGTGCACCGTCTTTGAAATGTAATAAAATAAAATATGTAGATATATTTATATCTTCGACGACGTAAAAAAATAAAATTTTAAATAAAATAAAATTTGTCAAATGTAATATTTCTTTTTCAAATCTAACCACCGTTTCGAAATAAGATTTCACTGACTGAAAAAGAAACGGCAGAATAAACTCCTCTTTTTAGGGTTCCTTACTCAAAGGGTAACCAACGGGGCCCTATTATTAAAACTCCACTGTCTGTCAGCGGGCTGTATCTCATGATCAGTAATAGGAAGACAGTTGATGTTTTCACATAATGTGTATTTCTGTTGCCGCTGCAAATAATAAAAATAAAAATAAATTAAAAATTAAAGGGGGGTCCCCTACTAGAAACATGTTTAACGATGGTACGGAACCCTTCATACGCGAGTCCGACTCGCATTTGGCCGGTTTTTATTTATATTAAGAGCAGTAACAGATACTTGTATAGTAGTTTAGTGTATTATACTATACAAGTTATGTTTAGTGTATATATAAGTTTTTTTGTTTAGGGAGAGGGGGCAAACGAGCATGCGGCTCGCCTGATGGTAAGTGACTACCGCCGCCCTTTTAAAAAGGAGACTGCCGGCCTTTTAAAAAGGAGTAGGCTCTTTTCTTGAAGGTCCCTAAGCCGTATCGGTCCGGAAACATCGCTGATGGTAATCGATTCCACAAGGAAGTTGTGCGACGAAGAAAACATATTCTAAATCGCACAGTGATGGACCGCCAATCATCCAGATGGTGTGGATGGTATCGGGAGTTCAAAATAATATTATTTATTAATTATATTTTTTTATAAAACTGAAATCACAAACGAATTTACAGGAAGTGCCTACTCCAGTCGATAACACCTGCAGTCTTCAAACAAAAGAGGCTGCGAATCCGTAATCACCGCTGAGGACTTAGATGAAATTCCTTCTCCTTCCTGCCCCTATTTCAAGTTATTTGAGGTCAGTATAGCATGTGCTCCTCTTCCATTTTCCTCTAATAGCCGTCATCTCTTCATTCACTACTTTCTTACGCATATCATCCCTAATACAGTCCATGCATCTTTTCTTAGACCTATCTCTGCTCTTATATCCATCCACTTTCATGGCCATTTCGATGGATTGACTCATGGCCTGTAATTATTCTGGCTCTGTTTGCCTTTCTGAACAGAACTTGGTGACAAAAAATTTACGAAACCACTCCATATATTGTTGATAAACCTCTAATAGCACAATATTTTCATGTAAAAGTACCTTCGATATAATATGTCAAGTTTAAAGATCCAGTGAGAGCATGCAGTATGTCCATATCTTTCATTGGTTCATCTTCCATGTAATCTGAACCATCATCAGTGTTCATATCAGGTGCGGCCAGCTTTAGCAGAGCCTGTAATAGACCCCGGTGTAAGTTGGATACTAATGGAATTAACCATATTTGACAACGGCAACACACTTCAAAGAGGTCCACAGATACGTTGTCACCACTGAGGGTCATAATTAAATGCCTTCAAACTTGCATACATACTGCTATAAATAAGTGCAATCACGCTGCTGCGGCGTAATCAAACTGCTCCTTAGAAGAGATTTATGTATGAAGCCTATAATTATGCAATTAAAAAAGTACAGTTACTCTTCTTGCTGAGAGGGTTTTAGGGCCAGACAATATCCACCACACTGTCCCAATATCGTGGTGAGGGACTTCACATGTCTGAAATATTTTTTTTTTAATTTCTCAGACATGCAAGTTTTGTCACGATGTTTTCGCTCACCGTCGAGCACGCAGTAAATCAGCACTCAAAATAGAAATTGGGTATCGACTCGGGTTGCTCGCATACTGTGAATTTACACCAAGCGCTTAGCTTTTGAGCCACCATGGCTTTCTTTAAGTGCCAATAACATTAAACGTTACGGCTTATTAAAGTCCACTGCTGAACATAGATTGCCTCATAGGGGTTGGTAACAGCAGTTTTTTTTTTCATTTTAGTTGTTATTAGTCTCCTAATTTGTTTCCCTCTATCGCCTCTTATGAAACCCACGGGATTAAATTAGGTAGTGGATTATCTTACACCGCCACTAACCTGCATGGTGTCTGATAGAAACCGATTCAAAGAGTTGCCCATGCGCATCACGTTTGGAAGGTGGTTTGGTAGATGGTGCCGAGACCCTCTCCCTGGAAATGTTGCTCTAGATCATTATGAAATTTTAGTTTAATATTTCTAGATGAATGGTTTTTCCGCCATTTTGGTTATTCCGTCAAACAGCGACTGCAGGTGGAAATGACGAAAACGCTTGTTTATTTCACCTTACATTTTACTCTTCATTTGTTTGACTTCATAAGTTTAAACAAAAAGATCGTTGCACTAAAATCGTTACCATCAGCAGCCCGTAAAAGTCCATCACTAGACATTGTCCACTCCCGTGCTAGTTAGAATTTGCTTTCGTTACGCTTGGCAGGCAGCCTGTCGATTGACGATGATCTGGATATGTTACGCTAGAAAGAGATAGTTATACCGCTATCTTACAGGTATTCCAACAGTCTCATCTAACGACACTCAGGTTACAAAATAGAGTCATGGATTTCCTTATACTACCAGCACACGGCTCCATTAAATAATTTCACATTAAAATATTACTTTCAAACAGTTTACTACAGTAGCACTAATATTTTTTTTATAAATTGGTAGAGCCATGCTACAGCTATATTTCTGGTATAGTTGTAATACGAATGTGTCGGCACGACCGGGGAAGGACCACGCTCTCACAGAATACCAGCGTAAAATAGCAGCTAAATGCTGCTGTGTTTCGTATGGTGAGTGTAGAGAACCGGAGACTCTTTTTACTGGAAACGAGGCATTCCATCTTAGTCCTCACGGGTTAAAACGCATCTGCATTTTGATTCGTAATCGAGGATAAATGTAGACACACACAGCAACCATTTACAATCAGGTGGACTGTATGCTCGTTTGTCACCCTTATCCTATAAAAAAAAAACTGTGCCTTGAATAATTAATAGAACAGGCGTTACTTTGCGAAAATCCATTACATAAAAAATGTTAAAAACTAATTATTTAAGATCCGGGTAATGAATTAAAATGTGTCCTACCTAGTTTGAAAAGCACCTCCCGCCCTCCTACAATTGCGTGCTTTATGCCCATCACCACTAATCCCAAGAAGATGCTCTTTAAACTCGGTGGTGACGCGTGGTTCAAAATTGGTATAAAGTGGACTGTAATAGGCTGGAATTGGATTTCGTTAAAATTTGCAACCGACACATAAAACTGAAGGTACGCACCTGGAGAACGCCGTCAGCTTCTTTTCGTACTTGAGGTTGACACTCGCGTGGTAAACTCCTAGTTTTCTTGCGCGATTTACACTTATTTAATACAATTCACGGCCGTGATTTTAGCGTACGATAATTCAATAGATATACGAGTAGCGAGTGTGATACAATATGCTTCCGCGTGCGGGCGTGTTTTTACTTAGACTTCTTCTTCTACCCGGTTGTCGGTCGCAATAAGGAATGAATGGAATGAATGAAAGGTATTATAGAAGAATCTGATTCGTCAAAAGGTTGACCAAAAACGCGGAATATTTTAATTTGAGAAGTGGCGGTAACACTCGGCAAGACACATCATTTTATTTTATTACGCGTATCTTAGGTAATTAATTATTAACATCTTTAATAAATATAAAATAATAAATTACTTTACCTTACAAAGTAGTAGGGGCCACAAATGCACTGTCGTATTGGTTATATATTGTCTACCGGCGGGTTTCGTTGATGCCTGGTTGAAGAACGGTGCTAACGGCAGGAGGGGGGCGCCAGACGAATCGACAGGCACTTGATCGCTCACCCACACGCATCGCCACGCGCCGATGTAGTACAGTCGCACAAGATAGCAACCTGAGTGTAATAATTTCCGTCGCAAGATTGAATGATTCCGTTGGTAAATTGAAACTAAACGCCCTTATCTGAATTCACGGGTATTACAGGCGTATTGTGACTACATCTGATGTATGTGTATAATTTAAGCCATTCAATCGCAATCTTTGAGTATGTGTCAAGAAAAGCATATTATGTTATGGTAATGAGGGCTAATAATTTTCTGCTCACCAGATGTCGCTAGTTGACACTGAGATAAAGTTTTTTTTGTTACACAATGTAATTTAATTGAGAAGTTGTTTTTTAAAATATTTTCCACGTTTATCAGTTTCTAGAGTATTACATTAATACACAAAACAAAGCGTCAGTGGTTTGATCTTTAATTTTTTGCACTTTTTAACTCTTTTTTATTTTTCTACTTTTATGAATATCTGTGGGTTTGTTAATTTATTTTTAATGTGATTGATATAAAAATAGCTAATAGTACAGAAAGAAACAATAACTTTTACATTTTCCGAACTAATTAACTTCCCCGCTATGAAATCTGTCAAATATTATACCTTACTTTCTAGTGGCGCCGCCCTGGTGGCAGAAAAAGTCGTGGGTGCCCTCATTCACTAAGCTGTGTCAGTCTGTGGTAGAGAAATTAGGGTGTGACAGAAGAAGCATGAAAGTGAAACTGATGCTGTAGAATTGCGGTTATTAATTAGTATTTTAGGGCTGACTGTTTCCGATGTTTACCCCCGTGCTTCGGAAAGCACGTAAAGGCGTTAGTCCTGCACCTAATCTCTTCAAATTACCATCACATTATACTATAAGGGTGAGGGAATAGAGAGTGTACCTGTGCATGCGCGTAAACTCGGGCATTATAATTCTGTTCTGCTCAAATGGCTAGTCTTTTTTAGTTGAGAATGGCCACCGTGACTGACATTTGGTTTGGAAAATATTTTTTTTTTTAGAAAAACGGTACCCCCACACTAGGATTTTCTTCTGTATCGTGGAGGCAGTTTACAAACACAAATTGCACAAGGACACACATCCAGACCCGGAATAATTATTTGTAGGCTATACAAATACTTGTTCCGTGCGGGATTCGAACCCGCGGCCTCCAGCGCAGCAACTCATTGCTAAGCCACTGCGCCACGGAGCCGTTAAAAACTTTTGTAAAACAAGTTTAATAATTAATTAATTTATTATACCATTTTTCGAGAGTGCAGGTCGATGTTGTTGCCCACCGCCGTGTTTCATCCCCGGTGAGTATATGTGGTATCGGGCTCGCCATCCCTCCGGTGGCACGTAAAATACAAAATTGTCCCACTGATGCTCTACCTAGAATATACAAAATCCTATGTCTTCGTTTTAACCAAGAATTTATTAGAAAATTTATAAGAATATTTTATTAATTTTATTACATAAAAATACAGTCGGTTTTATCTTAAACTACTTTTACCAAACTGCAGAGTAGTTTGTAGGCGAATATATTACACACTTACATCCTACGTATCTACTGTAATATTACATACATACATACATATAATCACGCCTCTTTCCCGTAGGGGTAGGCAGAGACCAGTTCTTTCCACTTGCTACGTTCCTTACATACTTGTTTTGCTTCGTCCACTTTCATTATTCCCTTCATACATGCTCTAAGGTTTAGGGTACTCTTGACCTGGCCTTTTTTCAAGACGTCCCTGATTTGGTCTAGAAATGTCCGCCTAGGTCTACCCCTTCCAACACTTTCATTCACACTCGCCTTATACACTTTTTTCGTCAATCGTTCTTCATTCATTCTCTCGACATGGCCAAACCATCTCAGCATACCTTTCTCAATTTTTGTCACTACATCTTCTTTCAGACCACAACGTTTCCTTATCTCACTATTTCTTATCCTGTCACTCAGTTTAACTCCTATCATACTTCTTAATGCTCTCATCTCAACTGCATTTATTCTGCTTTCATGTTTCTTCTGCCATACCCAAGTTTCACTTCCGTACATGAGTGTCGGAACCAACACCCCCTCATGCACAGCCAAATGAGCCTTGTTAGACACCTTCCGACTGCTCATAAAGGAGTGTAAAGCTCCATTCACCATGTTTCCTGCATTCACTCTTCTTTCGATATCACTCTCACACTTTCCATCTCTTGTAAACTTTGAACCCAGATACACAAACTCTTTCACCTGTTCAATTTGTTCATCTTCAATCACAATATTGCAGTCTGTCACTGCCTCATCTTTTTCAAACACCATCACTTTCGTCTTCCTTACATTCATCTTCATTCCCTTTCTAACAAAAGCTCCACTCATAGCAGTTACCATCTCCTGCAACTCCTCGGCCGAAGACGCAAGTAATACTTGATCATCAGCATAGATAAAACATTTGACGAGTAACTCATTCATTCTCAACCCACTTTCATTCTCTTTTAAATCTGTCAAACAATTGTCCATGAACAGATTAAACAGCCACGGTGACGCTACACATCCCTGTCTAACACCCTTTTCGATATTAAACCATTCAGTGTATGCCCCGTTTATCCTTACACAAGCACTAGAATCCCTATAAAGAGATTGCATTGCTCGTATGAGGATACTGCTCACACCGTTCACGGACAGTGCTGACCACAATTCATTCCTCACCACTCTATCATAGGCCTTTTCTAGATCTACGAACGCGCAGTAGACTTTCTTGTTTTTAGCCAAATACTTTTCGGCTATGCACCGCAAGGAAAAGACCTGATCCGTACATCCCATTCCCTTTCTAAATCCCGCTTGTGCATCCCATATTTTCTCGTCTGTTTCATTCACAACCCTTTCAATCAACACTTTCGCATACAATTTACCGACGACGCTGAGAAGGCTTATACCGCGGTAATTTATGCAGTCCTGCCGTGACCCTTTTCCCTTATACAATGGCACGATTACGGCTTTGCACCAGTCTCCCGGTACTTGCCCATTTCGCCAGCACAGATTGAAATGGCGGTACAGCTGACTAGCCACCAGGCCCTGTCCAGCCCTCAGCATCTCGACGGTAATTCTGTCATACCCTGCAGCCTTACCTAATCTCATACTTTTCAACGCTTTCACTATTTCATCCATGCTTATCTCATTTTCATCAACATTTATATTAGTTTCAGTGGAAGGTGGCAGATGCTGTACCTGCACTTCCTCTCTTTCAAACAAACTTTCAAAATACTCTTTCCATCTCTTTAACACACATTCTTCTCCTTTTATAATGCTCCCATCTTGACTCCTGATTGTACTCAGCTCCGAGGTAGAAATTTTTCCTCTAGCTGTTTTGATGGTTTTCCAGAAAAACTTAATGTTTGACTGAAAATCTTCAGTGAGCCTCCTATCGAAATCATCCTTTCGTTCTTCTTTCTTTCTAGACACCATTTCTTTCGCTGCTGTTTTCAATCTTTTACACTTCGTTCTTGCTTCCTTTATCTCATCATCCGTTGCCTTTTGAACTTTTTGGTTAGCTTTTGTTGCTAACCAATCCAACCACGCTTTCTTCTTTTCTTGCACAACCTTTTGTACATCTTTATCCATCCACACGTTATCATTCTTTCTTCTCTTCCTTCTTTTAGCTACCCCGCATACCTCAATAGCAACATTTACGACCCCTTTCTTAAATATCTCCCACAAATCTTCAATCACTCCTATCTCTTCTATCCCTTTAAAACTTTCTTTCAGTTTCTCTACATACTCGTCTTTCTTTTCTTTTTCTTGTAGATTTTCCACTTTTACTCTGTCCAAAACACTCGTAGGCTCGGCCACTCGGTGTCGCCACCGTTTAAAGAGGCCACGCATTCGGGCTATGACCAGGAAGTGGTCTGTGTCGAGGCCTACACCGCGGTATGCCCGAGTGTCTAGCACTTTCTTCCTCAGTCTTTCATCCACAATTACAAAATCAATCATACTTCTAGACATACCCTCATCTCTTGTATACAAATGGATCTTTTTGTGGTCAAACATTGTGTTGGCCACGCACAGATTCCATTCCAAGCATACTTCAAGCAGGCTTCTCCCATTGTCATTCACTCTCTCGTCCCCAAACGTACCCAGAACTCCTTCATACCCATCACGCTTTACTCCAACCCATCCATTAAAGTCCCCTAACATCGCGATCCGTTCATTTTCTCCGCATTTATTCAAGACCTCTCTCATGCTATCCCAAAATTCCTCTCTCTCTTGTTGTGTTTTTAATGACCCACCTCCACGTAGATCCGTCGGTGCATAGACCCCAAGGATAAACAAGCGAGTGAGTCCGACTTTTAACCTAATCCAGAGGAGTCTTGGGCTTACACATTCATGCTCCATCACACATTCAACCATTCGAGATGAAAGAATCACACCAACTCCCTGACAGCCTCGGCTGGTTTGGGGGACTCCCGACCAGTATGCCGTGTAGGGGCCATGAACCGTGGTGTCACATCCTTTCCTCTTGATTTCGTTCACGCACAGAATATCAATGCAACGTTCATCTATCATCTGACATACTTCATCTACCTTACCATCCATTCCTCCTCTTACATTCAACGTAGCGAAGCGGCTCTCCGTGGGCCGCTTTTCGCCCCCGCGAGAAACGAGACGTGATGGGTGGCGAACCACATCGCCGCCATTTTGGTCAATTAAATTATTTTTATGGTTATCCATTGCGTTCCCACGAATAGCGAGGGAAAGGTTTGTCCCCCCCAGCAGAGCCCCGCATGCCAGGGTAAGGCTAGCCTAATTCTGGGGTCGCCCGGTCCCAGGGCAGTGTGGCACGCTAATGACTAGGCTCGCCCCTAGCCATGCATCCATCCGCGCGGCAGACGTTGGATTGGCGGAGGGTAGGAATAGGACAAGGGGAAGGATAGGTGGTGTGAAAAGGAAGAGTTAGGTAAGTTAGGGTAGGAAATAGGAAATATAGGATATTACCGTCCAGGAGGGCACGGGATAGGACAGTAATAGCTAGGGAAGCCGGGGTCGCATACCCGTATACCATACCACAACTACCGGACAGGTAAATTGGCATGAGTATCCCTCGACTTGTAATATTAATATGCTGATTTGTATGTAATCTTATCAAATATTTTAACTCGTTTACATCAAATATGAAAAAAAATAATTAGCTAATATCCGTGTGCGAAAACAAAAACAAAGTCAACAAGTCTGGAATTAACATCGCTTCTTACGCATACAAGAAGGGGGAATGAAAAACGGACGAAAATCTCAACAAATGACAAGTAGTTATTGTAGCCCATGAAGACTTAATTAAATATTCAGTAATTAAAAGCTTTTAGAAAAAATTACTTCGCAAATATCCGCGTTATAAAATAAAATGATGTGTCTTACCTAGTATGAAGTGCACCTCCCACCCTCCCTCAATTGCGTGCACTATCCCCGTCACCACTAATCCCAGCACCGCTGCTCCCAACACCACTACACTAGGCATGACACACCACTGACGATAATACGACACGTGTTTCGCCTCTACACGAGGCATCCTCAGGTGATATAGACTCTACGGTGGCTAACCGCTAAGTGAGCGGCGAGCCAAACCAAGTGATAGTGATTTCAATAATTTAAAATTTAAAATTTTGTACAGCCGACTTTAATATAAATTATTAAGAATAACTCAAAAACTATTTGTTTGACCTTGATAAAATTCATATGGAACCACACGAGAAGTACCAGCTTTCAAATAAAAGAACAATCATCGAAATCGGTTCACCCAGTAAAAAGTAATGAGGTAACACACAAAAAAAAACATACAGTCGAATTGAGTACCGTCTCCTTTTTGGAAGTCAGCAGAAAAGGAAAAACATTAAATGCGTTAGGTATTACTTCTAACTGCAAAGATGATAAAACTTTGTATGTTAACGGCTCTCTGGTTGTAATTTTAATGTGGTAGTATTATGTCAGAGAGTGTAATGATTTCCCGGTCAACTTAAACTATTCGTATTGTTGCGCGCCACCATTAATGCCTGGTACATGGCGACACCAGTTATCACTAGCACCTTCTAATGTCGAGTAGCAGAACTAGAAGAGTCAAGATCCTTCTAGAAATTTCCGTGGAAGAACTTTCTAAAACTATAGACACCTAGTCAATGGGGACCGGTATGTATTCGAACATTCTAGATGTTTCTAGAGTAGAATGTTCTGAAACTATCTGAGGCCTTATATAAGGCCGGTATAGACCGCGACCGGAGTGAGTGTTGAGTTGGCAATACAAGCGAATACTTCGAAGCGAAAATAAACTAAGCTTAAACTACGAACTGCGAACTAAAGTGATCAGTACTAAAATTGTGTTTTGTTATTAGTATGGTTTTAAGTTGTAGTCAGTGTTCTGTAATTAAAGTGTCAATTTTGGTAATTCACTCGGCACTTATTAATTGTCTCGAACCCCAAGCTCGTAACAGTATTGTAGCCATAATAGGAGGAGTGATCCAAAAGTAATGATAATCAATATAAAACCCAGAATTCCCTTAGAAGAAAAAAATATTTTCGCTATCGTCTGCAAATTTCTTGCATCTAAAGTGTTCCTTGAGCCGAGGAAATAGATAAAAGTTACTGGGACCTAGGTCTGGTGAAAAGGGTGGGTGTTCGAGCAGTTCAAATCCCGTTTCTTGAATGGCAGCCATGACAATTGCGGATTTGTAAGCTGGAACGTTTGCTTGGTGAAACAGCACTCCAGCTCGCAGTTTGCCGCGTCTTTTATCCTTAATAGCCCTTCCGCAATCTTCTCCGTAGCGTAGATCTACTCCTTACAAATAAAGCTGGACCGCGTAAAAAATTGTTGCATAGTGGCTTCATTAAAATTTATCCGGGCCAAAATTTTCTTTTACTCTATGTGGTAATCTCGGATTTTATATATTTACGAGAAAAATAATTTATTAGGTTAATAAAACAAATTTTGATTTTTTTGCCTTTATTTTTCGATATACTCGCTTTTAATTATTTCATTCTACTAATAAATAACTTTACTTTTAGAAATGCCTAGACTATAATAGTATAATCGTCTCGTATACTGACTGACTGATCATGACGTCCCGGGTTCGAAACCCAGGTTGAGCCATAATCAGTTGTTGGGTTATTCTGCCAAGAAATTCTCAGTAGCAGCCCGGAATCAGAAAATGGACGGTGTTTTAGCCTTGTGCCTCAGAAAGCACGTAAATCCATTGGTTGTGCGTCTGATCTTTGTCCAGCTGTGTCGGAAAACTGTCTCATCAGAATGTTAAAATGAGGTAATAGAAAGTGCGCTTGCTTATACACATGGGCAGTATAATCCTGTTCTGCGCAGATGACTAGTATCGTTTTGTATACCCCAGTCGTAAAATGTCAAGACTGGCAACGGGTAGTATCGAGAAACCGCCCAACCGTCAAACCGCCTGCCAAGCGATTAAGGCAAATTTTCCCTAAAACGGGTGAGGGCCATTCCCAAGAAAAAGTTAACTGTGTAATCAGGAAGTTTAATAACTCATTTTTCCAGTGGCCATACATACAGTAAAACAAACGAAACGTCGGAATTTCACAAAGTAAATTAAAAAACAAACTAAACTTGATCATCATAATTACCGTAAAACCCTCCGCTCTTTCAAGCATATAACACATCGATAGCACTCGCCTACAGAAAGCAGACATTTGCAACACTTGGTAGTGAGCAAATTGAATATCTGCTGTAGACATCTTCCCGCCATTGTTGTCCTAAAATGTTTTAGACAACTATTATATTTTTGTTCAAAGTCGCTTAGTAAAATAAAAATAATCGATCAAGAGTGTTTACGCACAATTAGCTATTTGACACTTCATCATTATCGAAATGCTAATGCGTTGACATACTTGCGAACATGATTGAATGGCTCATTAACAGCAAAGGTGTTCCAGGTTCTCCTCATTAATCATACGAAACACAGCAGTTTAATGTGCAATGTTTTATGTAAACCATAAAATTCCAGATGAGATACATACATACATAATATTTACATAACAACCTATTAAAAGTCCTGTGCTAAATATGGGCCTTTACGATAAATTTTCTAATAGGCATATTAGCCATATTTGACATACATGTTTCCAATCGCAATTTTTTATCAATTTGATTTATAATCATGAAAACCGTGTAGTGGCGGTGTTAGAATATCCACTTCCTAATATTGTCTCGTTGGTGTCGTAAGAAGCGACGAAGGGAAACTTAAACAAAAGATGGGCAGCAGCATCTTCCTGAAAACAACACAAAATAATAACTTATACGTTTATAGACGTGGTAGAGCCATGCTGCAGGTACATTAGTAGTATAGTTGTAGCACGGATGGGTCGGCTCGACCGGGGAAGACCCACGCTCTCACAGAATACCAGCGTGAAATCGCAGCTTAACGCTGCTGTGTTTCGTATGGTGAGTGTAGAGAACCGGAGACCCATTTTACGAGAAGAGAAGCATTCCGTCCTAGTCCTCACGCGTGACGACGCATCTGCATTTTGATTCTTTATTGAGCATAGATGTAGATGTCTATGTGTAACAGCAACCACTTACCATCAGGTGGACTGTGTGCTCGTTTGTCAACTTATCATTAAAAAAAAAAACTTTCGATTGCCAACCCGCCTGCCAAGCATGGCCACACTTATGTTTAGCAGTGAACTTTTATAGGCTGTACTAATAATCAGGATACCCACGGGAGTAAATAGTATAGTGAATTTTCTTTCACTGCTTCTATACGGCTATAAGTTCTTTCTTTCTTTCTTTCTTTCTTTAAAAATCCGGATAATATCAGAAGACGGGGTCAGCATCCAATCTCGCGGCCATGCTAGCCGATTAAGAAAAATCCTGTACAAAGGATTCATCATCTATTTCCAGAAGTGGACTATCAGGGCTTAATAAAGAAGAAGAAACAAGAACTGGAAAACTTCTAACCTCAAACACAGTGACATCAGCTTTCCATTGATTTTGAGCCAAGTCTTCAGCCCTCATCCATCCGTGGAGGCGTTTTCTTGCAGATCTTGGTAATGGTTGTATTTGGTCGTCTACCCACACATGATCTGATTGTGTCTTTGGACCTCCTTTTCCCATCCTCAACGCAGTTTTGAAGGCTATTGATCCCTTAAAATAGTAAATATTTCTATAGCATTTCAATATACAGCTTTGAAAACATTCGTGTTACTCGTAAGGAAAGGTTGTTAATACCAAAATTCAAGTATAAAAACTATGATATATCGAATTTGTTAAATTGAAAAAATTACAAACCAATCCCCAGTAGTCTGTCGATAGTTCATTATCTCTAAATTCTCTGAAGGGACAATCAGACGTGCTTACTTGAATATCTAATACACTTTTTGTGGTTTCTATCTTTTTAGACATTTTTAAATGCTCTTTAGTCCCTGGTTGATTTTTAAATATATTTATTTTAGCCACTATATTTTAGCATAAAAATGACACGTTGTTGACATTTTAAGTGACTCGCTAATTTATTTTTAATTTTAAATGGATTTCGATATTGTCTTTGAAGGCTTTATATGTAGTTAGACCCACACCATAGACGTATAAATTAGGTACTATAGTCTTTGACCGCATCGTTAGTCTAGTGGTAGTAAGTGTGACTGCTGATCAAGGGGACATGTATTCAAATCCCACGTCATATCAAAATAATATTTCGGTTTTCAGTCATAATCAGTCGACAGGATACCTTCTACCGTATGCTACATAAGTATGGGGCAAAGCATAGAGCAAAACACGAAAACAATTTCTGTTTAACTTGATGTCTAGAAGGCCTTTGACAGAGTATTTTAGTCTTTCTTTCGGCATACGGCTTTTCCCTGATCTGATCATATAGTTGAAGGATTTTTTTCAGTGAACGGTCTTTCAGAGATGTTGTAATAGGCCGCTCTTCCGAAACTATCACGCTTAACGCCGGAGTTCCAGGGGGAAATCTCCCGCGTCACTTTCCTTGATGTACATCACTGAATTCTTGTGCCCAATGCCTTTGAGTACGTAGATGATAACATAGCTGTGGAGAAATAACAGCTCCAACCAACCTCACCAGTCTTGAGCACAATTGCAGAGTACCAGACCAAGCTTTTGGATTTTTACATAGTTTTGGAGAGTTTGCGTACGATTTGCATGACTTAATTCGACCCCCTCCTTTCAATCGTTGGAACACCAGATGCTTAGCCCGTTTCCACCCTTTGATGTTTACATAATACACGTTTGAACTTTATGTTTCTTAACCCCCAACGAAAATAGAGCGGTGTTATATGTCGGTTTTGTATCTGTATATCGGTGTGTCTGTCTGTGGCATCATAGCTCCTGCTCCTTTTTTCTTTTGATAGGTGTCTTCATCGAGAGTGTTCTCAGCTATGTTGCGAGAAAATCTGTTCAGCCGTTTGAAGATCATCAGCTCTTTTTGTTTCGGGGCTTTTTTGTTATTTCTATCATTCATAATGCTTTCATCAAAGGAGTGGAATAATTTGCTAATCTAGTTCTTGTTCATGTCTACTTGTGACTAGAACCACGAAGGACTACCGTTAACGTTACAGCCTCTGCTGAACATAAGCCTCCCCCATAGATTGCCTCATTGTGGGGGTATTTGCCATAGTTGCGACGCTAGGCAATCGGTTTGCCACCAGCAGATTTTTTTTTAATTTTTAGTTGTTATTAGGTAGGCGCTGCTGCCCATCTCCTGATTTGTTTCCCTTTGTCTGTGTGAAGGACTATGTGAACATTTTTTGATTAAAATTTAAAAGTTGAAATAAATATAAAATAATATTCTAAGTCATTATACTTGTCTTTTATTTCCAAAGAAATTAATTCAAAGGAAGCTAATGTTTCTGCACGAAACTTCCGTTATTTTACAAGGAAATGAAAATAGTAATTTCTACATATTAAAACTGTTTATAAAATTATGCTGTCCCTTTTGTTTGTGGGAAAAGGATTAATTGAAGTTATGATGGATGAAGCTTAATTAAGCTTCAATTCTCGACTGCTTCGTGAGAGCCGAGTGAAAATCATTTGTTGCATATTTTAAGTAATTTCCTTTATATATAGCACACACAATACTATATAATGTATTGTAAGAAATTTCAATTTAAAGCTACAGGAAAAGGCTTTCATCCCACTTCTGAAGTAAGAAACTATTCCACTTCTGATGTTAGAAATTTTCTTCAAAAGTATTTAAATAAAAGAACACTACTCCGTAACAAACCCTGCTTACTATCAGGACCCCAATTACATGATAACACCAAAGTATGCAAACCAACAGCATCACCACCCATCTCAATGTAACACAGGGCTGTCTCTCAGCAACACGACCTTCCTTGTCTACACTAGTAGAATACCCCAACGGCCAGAGTGACGACAGTGAGACTCTTAGAATTACAGACTGGTGCCTCTTAGTGGCCTGCACGATACTTTATACTGCTAAAACAAGTGGGAGATTACCATTCTACCTTCATTTGTTTTTTACTCTCATTTCCTATAATATATAATTTTACTCCACGTGTTTGTTACTGAACTCTCCCTAAATCGCTGGACCGATTTTTATGATTTTTGTATGAGTTTGAGTAGGATCCCTGGATAGTTTAGATTTACAATTGGACGCGGTAGGTGGCGCTGCTGTCGAGCTGCAAAGCTGGGGCGGATTTCTAGTCTATTATTATTGTAAAGATCAAAGAATTGATGTGTGTATATCTTGCTTGTTTTCCCTTGTTATATTGTATGGTTCAAATAATTCTTTCCTTTTTTCTTTTCTAAATCAACATGATGAAAATGAGCGACAAGATGCTTCTTATCTTATCCCTTTTAATAAGTGATTTTTAAAAGCCAAATTGTTCGTAAAAATGTAAAAATAAATACTTAGAAAAATTACACGTTGCAATCTTGAAAAATGAAGCAATCACTTTAGAGAGCATGTATTCGGTTTTTGTAACGCTTGGTCATTATTCAACGCCTGCTTGTAGTTGTTTTTATATGTCGCAAAAGAGAATATTCTTTTTTAAAGTAAGTAACTGAGCAATAAAGAGCTATTAAAATACATATTTTATGTATACAGGGCGTGCGGTGGCGAATTCAGAGAGGTTGTGTGAAAAAGCAGACTTCAAGAAACTAAAAAAAAAAATATAATTTCAACATACAGTAAAACTCGCTTAAGACGATTTTGTACGTATTATGCGGGATATGGAAAATAAAACATAACATCATTAAAATTTTTGTAAGTATTTAATTATAGGTATATTTATAATTTAAAAAAAATATAATATTATTCATAGTATGTATATGTATTTAAATACGTTACATCATAGTTTATTATAATTTAAAATGATATCAATTTCCCCGAAAGCTAAAAGCAAATTGCAACACATAGCACCTTAAACCGTTTACTGCTCATAAAGCCTCTGCGTTTGACAGACGGAATTGACTCTCCTTCATGTTCATCGTCATCACATAGGACCTCTTTTTGGGTGTATTCGCATCTCCAAAAAGATCTTCGATTGAAAGGGTTTCGTACGGTGCAACGTTGTCATCAATGGAAGAATATCCAGGAAAACCTTGCAGTATCGCCAACACGACGTCAGCTCTGTTACTTCGGATACCTGTTTTCTTGAAACAGTTTTGTATGGTTTCAGGCTTAATTGCTTGCCATGCCGCTGCAATTTCTAGGATCGGATTATGCACAGTCAAGAGTCGTTTGCTGTCAGTGTATCAATCGTGTTCTGTAGCTTTGTTTAAGGACTTTTATAATGCCCTGGTCCATCGGTTGCAACTTGCTTGTCGCATTCGGATGTAAGAAAACAAGCTTGATGTTCTTTAGCCGGGGCAGTTATCAATGAAATGAATTATGCTTGCTACTCTGCTTGGCTCGGATGCCATCCGTCTAAACAGGATACTAAGTTATTAATTATTTAATTTAGACGATATTCTGGTTGTTTCCTAGAGTTGGTCCACTCATTTATTTATTCATCACAGCCTATCAAAAGTTACCAGCTAAATATAAGCCTTCCCCGTAGATTGACTGCTGTAGATTGCCATAGTTGCCACGCAACCGCAGATTTCATTATATTGTGTTTTTGTCGTTTCATTTTTTTTAAATCCATCTTTAGTCTACTCAGCAGGGTCAAAAATCAAGCTTTATGAAAAAGTAAAAGCAGATTTCAGAAAATTATAAAGAATAATAAATAGTTACGGAAAAAGTGAATTTTGAAAGAAAAAGATACTCCGTATTTTCGATCCCGTAGGAATTTCAAAAAATTCTTCCTTATTCGTTGTCTACATTATAAATCTCTTCGCAAAATTTCAGCATTCTAAGCCCAAGGGTTTGGGCTGGGCGGTGAGTGAATCGGGCCTTGTGTTTTAAATTGATTAAAGCCCGGCTTTCAGAATTTCAAATAAGTTTGTTATTGCTAGTTCTTTTAAATCTCTGTACAACGAGTAGATACACTTAAAAGTATTTGATTATTACATTAGATAATGTTTTTGCAGTCATAATTGACACTGTGACAACTTTGAAATAACAAATAAAAAGTGTTAATTTTTTTTTATATTTGTCTCTAGCTCTGCATAACATATGCCGAGCCTTTCTTATCCCATAATAGTTAAATTGTACAGGTATAGGTCATACTAGATTTAACGCTGGAGCCGGGAAGGCTGATGATCCTGCTTGCAAATTTTCCATTTCATGTCGTAGAGCTGGCCTTGCGTTATCGCGCTTTGTAAAGACAACAAGATGCAGGAGTTTTCCGTTTTGGACAACTGGCGTTAGTAGAGCAGCGAACGTGTGCGAAACCGTTGCTATGACCCTGTAAATATGTGGCGATGGACAAACACCATGGACTTTTAGTTGGTGCATGAACTCCGACATAATCATCCCCCGCGAGACAGGTAGTTTAGTTCAAAATCAATATGGAGAAACTTGTATCAATTTATCATCCAATACATTTGGGTTTTAAAAATAAAATTAATATTTACATGATTTTTTTAAATAGAATACTTTTTTTATAGAAATAGGGTGACAAACGAGCACACAGTCCACCTGATGGTAAGTGGTTGCTGCGGCCCATAGACATCTACATCTATCTTCGCTTGTGAATTAAAATGCAGATGCGTTGTCAGCCATGAGGACTAAGATAGAATGCCTCTTTACCAGTAAAATGGGTCTCCGGTTCTCTACACTCACCATACGAAACACAGCAGCATTAAGCTGCTATTTTACGCTGGTATTCTGTGAGAGCGTTGTCCTTCCCCGGTCGAGCCGACCCATTCGTGCTACAACTATACTATTAATGTAGCTGCAGCATGTCTCTACCACGTATGAAACTACTACTGTCATTACCACACAGTTTTTATCCTGTTACTTAAATAACGCTTTC